AAAAAAGTACCGCCCAGTAGACAGATGAAAACAGCCAATCGTCATCATTATTCGTCATTAGCATGGTATGGTATCATCATTGTTCAATGAAAAAAATAACAAAAAAGAAGGATGATACCATCCATCCTGATTCTTGGTTTGAATCACATAAATGCAGAGAACAAACAAACAAACAAACAAAAAACAGATATGGAATCCTTCCAAGCTAAAAGAATACTAAAAAGCTATATATATGGTGGTTATAATAAAGATAGCCATGCGCATTTCATCTTCATTCTTATTCACTGTATCATCATTGAAAAGAGAATTGAATTCTGTTTCTCTTATTGTCACCTATCGGTGTTTCTTTTCTCCCCTTCTATGTGTAGTGTATTCAAATTTTTTTTTTTTTTTTTTTGGATCATCAATTCCAAAATGTGTTGCCTTTCTCTATGGATTCATCATTTGAACGCTTCTTCGTTTTAGTTGTTGGTTTTGTTTTTTTTTTTTTGGGGTTCATCACAAAATAACTGTGGCTATGTGTTTAGATGAAGCTCCACCTTATTCTTATACGTAAAAGCAAGCGTGCTTTATTGTATTGTGCGTATTTCGGTTGGCTCATCCATACACACACACACACACACAACATATCATCCATATCTATGTTTGTCTGTCTGTCTTTCTCTTTCTTTTTTTTTTTCTCTTTATCTGTCTCTCTATCACACATAGACATATTATTATATACGAATAAAATAAAATAAGCATTCACTATGTATACTGAATATAAATATACTAATATCTCCTTTTTTGCTTTTGCTTTTATCATCAGTTGTATATATTTATCGTGACTGTCACAAAAAAAAGACGCTCCACCTCTATCTCCGATGATTCAACCAACCAACCAACCGATCCACCGATTCATCCAAAAAAAAAAATCTTGAGAAGATATTTTTGTTTCCATCTTTGTTTATTGTCATTTGCCATTTGGGTATATCTATCATCAACATTTTTAGTTTTTATTTTTATTTTGTTAATGTGTTGGTTCCCATTTACGGTTACTACCATATTTGTGCATCACACATTTACCGAAATTGAAAAAAAATTGTCATCATTATTCAATTGTATCATTGTTATTGTGAATGCGTGTTTTAATGTTGATCATTTTCAACCATCTGCTCGTTTTTATCAATTTCTTATGTACCTGAATGTTTTTTATGTATGAGTAGTGTGTACGTGTATTTTTCTGTATCATTCATTCATTATTATTTGCAATATCATTTTGTCTAAAAAATGTGTTAGATTCCATATGTACATTTTTATGTTTACTTATACATATGTCAGAGAATCATCAATTCATCATTTACTAAGCAATATATGACCATTACATAAAAAAAAACCCAAACAACAACAACTTCAACATTGAACTATCAAATATTGGAACATCCGTCACTACTTGACCTTACGGTAACCTTTCCATAATTTATATTCATAAAAAAAATTCCTACTCACATTATAAGAGGCTATATGTGTTTGCTATCCAAAGTCCAATAAATATAATATATTAATCGATTTAATGAATTTATTGATTTGTTTAATTTTTGTTGTTGTTGTTGTTTTTTCGATAGAATTTAATTTGATTGGTTTTATTAAGTTGATTTTTCATGAGTGGGTGGAGTTTTTTTTGTTTCTTTATAATTTTTTTGCAAAATTACATCAATGATTCATATGTCGATTGGGCGGAGCTTATTCTTCAACGGATCGGGTTACAATTTTGAAATGTGATCAACAGTATTGCAAAAAAAAAATTATATTAAAACAACAACAACAACAACAACAAAAGCTCAATCATGTCGATTACTATACAATGATTTAAATGGCTCATGATTTATTCTAAATTCAATTTAGCAATTTACTAATAATAATTGAACGTCCATCTGAACACCATATTGTATCGGTACGATTCTTTTTTTTTTTTGTTTCGTATTGAATGAGAATTTTGGATATTAAGAAAAAAAATCAATTTCATTAAATCGATCCATTCATTTTGATACAAGTTGTGTGTGTGTGTTGTTCAGAGTGTTGATGAGTTCAGCATTTTTTTCTTTCGTACATTTGTCGTTTTAGTAAATAATGTTTTGTTTGTTTGTTTGTTTGTTTCATGTTGAGTCCAGTTCAATTTTCATTTCAAAGCAGAATTTTTTTTGTTTTCTCAAAATTTTCATTTCATCGATATTATCGAAAATGAATTTCCGTCGTCTTTTTTTTAAAAAAAACATAGACTTACACACACACACACACAAACACACGAAGAAATTTTTTTTTCATCAGAGAAAAAAAAATTTCATTCCATGTCAAGTGGACAGACACTCGTGCAACAACAATCGTATAGATTAAGTATCGTTGATAAAGTCAACTAGAAAAAAAAGACCATATGAACACTGATTAGCAACTGTGGGTGTGCGTGTGTGTGTTAGTGTCCAGTACCAAAAAAAATGTTGATATTGTTTTCTTAATGGAAACATCTTTATCTTTGGTTTTTACAGTTTCATTTAGTGATATTTTTATTTATGTGTGCACACTTGCTTGTTATATAGCTTTTATAGTGAGTATAAATAAATGATGACTATTAAGGGGAAGAGTACATCAATTTTCTACAATAGTGCTAACCATTTGGAATATTATGGGGATAGAATCTATTAAACACAATTGTATTAAATTGACTATTTAGATGATCTTTGAATTTTATTTTTGCCATCGGTGCTATGGACAATGATGACGATGATGATGATGATGATGATGATGACCGACGTGTGTTCCAAGGTCCAAGTAAATGTTAACTAAGTTTGAAAGTGAATGAATGAAAAAGAGAGTGTTAATGAGCGTGCAATCATTTTCATCACTAACGTTGATGTTGAAAGAAAATCGTTTATTTTTTTTCGTTTCGTTTCATTTTCAAACCTCTAAATAGCCACGACCAAACGTCAAATTAATGACTCTTTTTTTTTGTTTGGAATTAAATATAAACCATATTGGCCAATACCGTTTTCCATCCATTAGATTGATAATAGATAGGGCGTGCGCATTCTACGATTAGCTTAGCTAGTCAAACAAAAATTGAAATCAAAATAAGAATTGGATTTAATCCGTAAAAAAAAGACTTTTTGTTCTGGATATTTGGCTATCTTGATTGTCATTTATCTTCTTTCATTTTTTTTGAGCAAAAGTTTAATTATCAATATTTTTCTTTGTCCATTCATTGGATGTTCGGGTGATAAAAAAAAACTGTTGACTTTCGAGGTGTTTTGTTTTCATTACTGTTTGTAAACGGATGACCATAATTTAAGTAACACAAATGAAACTGGGACAGAAAAAAAACATCACTATTTGATTAACTGTAATTTTTGTACATAGAGGGTACATGTCAAGTGTAAAAAAATAAATTCTTAAATTGTTCGAAGTAAAAAAAAAAAAAAAAAATATCTCTAACCTCAAACCTATTGCAATTGTTTTTGTTTTTTGGCTGATTGGGTTTTTTTTCTTGTTGTTTCTGGTTGTCAAAAAAAATTGACAAATCTTTAGCTGCAAAAAAAAATCATTTCCGTTCGAAATGGCCAATTAAGAAAAAGGATCTCTTGCATGTGTAGATGTGTGTGTATAGTATTTATGTTATATTTACAAGCCCAGCCAAAATATTCACACAAAAAAAACAATATGGAATATATTAGCTATAGACAAACAAGGATCTTGTGTTTGTGTGTGTGTGTGTGTGTGTTGTTTATTTCATCGAAATTTAGAAAAGTTGATAAAACAAAACAAAGAAAGAAACAAAAAACTGTCATCATCATTTTTTTAAATATATAAATAATAAACAGAAAATTTCTGTCTCCTCTTTTTTTTTACTTGTCTGCCATTTTTCAAGAAAAAAAAGAGAAGAACAATTCAACACAGGAAACCGGATTCTCGTCAAGTTGTTGTTCATCATCGACATACTTATCAAGATTGAGGATCTTCTTTATTTTTTTTTCTAGCTAAAAATTGTTGCCAAGTTTTTTGTTTAAGGGTTAAGGCTTGAAATACGACACGATATTATTATTATTTTTTTTTCTATTATCGTTTTTTTTTGTTTTTGACAAATTGACATTGATTAAAGTGATCATAACCATAGAGATTATATTTGATGTTCATCATCATAAACAAAAAAATGATGGCCACATATTGTCACATATATTCAAATCAATGAATGTTTACTTTGATGAGTGTTTTGTTTTATGATGTGATGTGGGGTGATCAATACGTTAATGTTTTCTTTTCGGGCGTATATCATATAATCCAATCGACACAATGTTCAAGTTCCGTCATGATTGTGATGGTGAAAAAAGATTTGGAGAAAAAAATTGTTCATTTTTTACCTATTATTGTTTGTGTGTGTGTGTGTATGTGTCAAATAACTAAATGTTTTTTTTACAATTTTTTCTTCTATTTCGTTCCCAGGATGGTCTGTCTCAGGATACGTGATCGTATATTAAAAAAAAAATTTTTTCAATACGATTTTAATCTGAATCGAAAATGATTACAGATTTGTTACCATCATCGTTACGATCGACAAAATCTAATATTAACAAATCAAATATTGAAAGTAAAAAAAATCGATCGATAAAAATCGTTGATCAAAATTTAAAGATTACATCGATGGCTCCAGGAAACCTTGTATCGGATAATCATTCACCAGTATCGCCAACTATTTCAGCCAACACAATGGCATCCTATTTATCTTCACTTTTTCCACCACCTCCTCATCACAATCATCATAATATTCATTCATTGCATCCACATTCAGATTTTTATTCTGAACAGTATGCACAAACTATTGATAAATTATCTTCAACAACCAATCCATTATTGAATAATCATCAAAAATTTAATGTGGATAGATTTTCAAATTTTAGTATAAATACAACAAAATTTGTTGAACAACAAATCTATGCAAAACATTTTCCAAATTTACCTGAAAAATTACAAGTTCATCCAAACATATCAAATGATAATGAATTAATGATGAGCAATACTATAATGAAAAATTTTTATATTGCAACCTCAACCGATATTCAACGTTCAACAACATTTGGACCATATGCAGCTAAAATTGGAAAAAGTCGTCAACATCTAATGAATGCTGATCAATGTTTTAAGGTAAGTTCAAAAGTAACATTAGTTCAAAAGTTCATTCACAGCAAAAAAAAAAAATGAAAAATGAAAAAATAATCAGGAAGTTTTTAACATTTTTTTTATACGTTATGATTTTCTGGTGAAAAAAAATGACATTCATATTGTTATTCCCACACAGTGAAGGTATATAATTCAATGAACTAAAGATTCTATAACGACGATGACGAATCTTCAATGATCATCTATTATGATTTTTTTTTCTTTCTAATAGTTTTACATTTGTGTGTTTGTGTGTTTGTTTGTTTGATGCACAAGTGTATCAGACAGGCAAACACGGCACAAAAACAGCAGCGGGTGATCCAAAAATGATTCTATAGATTTTTAGTCGATTGGATAATTGATTTTGTTTGTTCGGGCATTTGAAAACAAAACAAAAATACAAAAAAAAATCTAGTGAATCAAATCTTGCGATATGTATAAATGCGTTAAGTTTTTTTTGGAAAATAGTGATCGATGAGCTTCGATCATCATTGATGGTCCACCAGATGGACAATTTTTTTGTTTGTTTGTTTTTGTTATTGTTTGGAAATTCGAGACCATATGATGATTGAACATATATTAGTGTGTGATTGTATTTCTGTTTTGGAAAATTCAATATATTGATGATGATGATGATGATGATAATCATATTCCACGATATTACCTTAACTTTGAATACAATTCAATCAGCAAAATAATAATAATAAAACAACTCATAACCAGAAAAATAAACTATAGTGAACATTTGTATGAAGAATATATATTATATATATATATCACCCACAAATAATGATTATGGATAAAAACACAGCAAACATTATATAACATATATATAAATACAGTACTATTAAACATTCTGAAACAAAATTTAAATTGAATATGAGATGAAAAAAAAAATAATATCGAATCGTTCATGTAAATGCAGTTCTTTTTTTTTTTTCTATTCGGACCACCACTATCGTTTTGTACCAGTATTTTGATTATCTTTTATTTTTTCCTGTTGTTTTTTTTTTTTCTTGGTCCACGATTCAAATGACGTGCATTTGTGTATGTGTGTGTGTGTGTGTTCGATTTGGTTTTGGTTGGTTCAGATATTTTTCTCATTTTTTCCCATTTATTTATATAAATTGAGTCAACGTATTACCATTCATTCATATATATATAAATGTTTGTTTCCTATTTCTGGTTCTGGCGTCAGCTTGTATCAATTGCCTGTTTTTTTCTGATGGGGATATGAGACGAGCACCGTTCATTGCCAAACGATAACGTAATAGGCAAAAAAAAAATTATTTGGTGAATTTCAAGCCGCTCTTACACATGAAAGCATTTGGAAAAAAAATGTCCTGATCATCAAAGGTCAACAAATAAGCAATAATGGAAAAAAAGTACAAAGATAATCACATCATCATAAGAATAATCATTTGAAAATAAATTAGGTGTCATTGGAAATTGATTCAATAATTGAGTATATAAGTTGCGTTTGTGTTCAGAGATTTCTAATAATATTGAACAAAGATCATCATAATAAAAAGATAGATAGATTCTGGTATTGACTATTCTTTGATTTTTTTTTTCGTTGTTGATTTAGTAGATCGGGTATGTCAAAGACACACACACACACACCAGATGGATTCAATAGGATTTTAATTGGCCATTCTAACGGCATTACAAGAAAGATGTCAAAGACATGTTTTCATATTTCTCACTCTCTTTTTTGCTAGCCACTCTGGTGTGTATGCAATAAAAATATATATTTTTTTTTCTGGTTCCCATTTCAAAGTTCAGGGAGAAATTTTTTTTTTTTCGTTAGGGATTCAACCACAATGAAGAAAATCCATACATCCTGTTTGTATCATTTTTCTGGTTTTTGTTTCGTTGATCATTTTTTTCTGAATACCACATTCATGTATCTATGATTCTGGTTTCAATTCTCTCTCTCTCTCTCTCTCTCTCTCTTTGAGGATTTATCGATGTAAACGATTCTTTTGCTGCCAACGTAGAACATAAATCTTTTCTCCATAATTTGCTTTAGACGCGTGGTTATCTCCATACATATTTCAATCACAAATCACAAAATTTGATAAATAGTCAAAGAAAATCTGAATAAAAATGTTTCACATTTTTTTTTCTTATGATTATGCTGATATGAAGGCGCCTAAATATATATAATATATAGAGCTGCGCTTTACCATTTGCGCTGTATGTGGCTAGAACAAAAAGAATCTCTGTATGTATGTGTAATATATTTTATGTGATTGTTCCAAGAGGCAATTTTTTTTTTTTTGATTATTTTTTTTCTGTTGTTCATTTTATCATATTTTACATAAAAAATATAAAATCAACATTTAAATTTGTGTTGACTATGTACGTCAAGGCTGTCATCATAAAGCAGCAATCATGACGATGATGATGATGATGGTTTCCAGGCGTCAATTCGTAATAATAATAATAATGCTAGAATATCAGAGCCTGATATAGAACTTGGATCGTAAACATGTACATAGAGAAAAGAGAGAGAGAGAGAGAAAAAAAAATTACATGATTGGTGTTAGTACGTCGAGCATTTTTTTTTCTTTTTGGTATATATTATTTCTCATTTTTTTGGGGTTTGATTTGACATTGTCTGCTTTTATGTTATTATTGTTATTTTGATTTCATCCACCAAATGCAAGGTAATTAATGTCAAGCTAAATTTTGTACATTTTTTTTTTCGTTGATTGAATTGAAGATTAGAAATTTCACACGAACATAATGCACGTGTGCGTGTGTGTGTGTGTGTGTGTGTTCAATCATGTTACACCTACACACATATAGTTTAATGATTATATTTTTTTATCGACATATTATGTGTATATAACCGCTACACAATCACCTTGGTGACAAATTCCTAAAATGAAATTCAATCAATCAATATATTCTATTCAATCATTTCCAATCACGGAATTAGATTTTTTTGTTGTTGTTGTTTTTTCCGTATTTCGGTTCTTCTATCAATGGAATTCCGGAAATGGAACAGAATAAAACCGTTCAAAAAAAAGATTGATCACCAATTAGTTGTTTACAAAAAAAAAAAAAAAAATTAACTTAGATATTTTAATATTGATGAATGTATATATTGAGTTTAATGATTTTATCATCTGTTATTGCTAATATTTTCATATATATGTATTGGATGATGCTTAAACCAAATATATATGTTGTATGTATAAGTGATATGTGGTACAAGAGTAGTTAGTTACCAACTTTTACAATCAAAAAAAAGTCAACATCATTCATAATGCAACTCTAATGGATGTAACAGGAGGATTGAATGGATCCATGATGATGATGATGATGATGGTGATGGCCTTAAACAGAAAGAATCAAAGGCAAAAGAATTGCAATTTTTAATGGATACAACATATGTGTGTTTGCTTATTCAATATGGATATATACTCTGTGTGTGTGTGTGTGTGTGTGTGTGTGTGTGTGTGTCAAAACTGCTGGGATGCCCATTTTTTGTTTCATTCATCTATCTATCCACCCATCCAATCTAATTCACAATATCAACATGGACAAAGATATTTGAGCTTAACGAAAAAAAAACTTTTTTTAAAGAAGGCCACACACACAGGCTGTTAGCAAGAATAATAATAATATGATGATGATGATGATATAACATGTTCAATCCATTATTTACAGATAATTTAACAATGACACAATAATAAAAACGTTTTTTTTTTTTTGGCGTTACTGACATTTTTTTTCTGTCGATATGATATTGCTGTATTTTTCAATATCATGTTTGCCCCCATGATGGAAGATATGTGTATTTTTTTCCATCGATAGAATTGAATAAAAATTGTATGTTTGTGTGTATGTTGTCATCATACATCACATCATACAAGTGATGTTTTTTTTTTTTTTTTCGTCGTGTATACTATACATGTTAGCAGAGAGTATCGTCGTCATACGAACCATGAAACCCAAATCGAATTGCTACACGCCTCGATACACACCAACACGTGTGCCTTGCTCTCTCTCTCTCTCTTTCTCTCTCATCCAAATTATTATTATCCGGTTGTATTACGGAACCATATTATGATTCCAGTGGTAAAGGTTTTTTTTTTTTGCTTTTTCAATGATCAAAATTGAATCTTTCAATTTCTTATTTTTTTTCAGTCCATCAGATTTGAATTATAAAATATCAGCAGACAGAATGCAAAAAGTTTTCCAAGTTCAGGCTATTTTTGATTGATTCTATCGTATACATTCATGACATTGTCCTGTGATGCGTGTTTTTGAGAGAGAAAAAAATGTAGTAGCCAAAAACATAGAATGGTGAATAAAATAATTTATCATTTTTCTTCATTCGTGTAGCAGCCAAAGAAAAAAAGTTTCCAGAATACAGAATTTGAGTTTGTCAATATTAAATATCGATCCAAACATAATAAGAATATAGAATGTTTACTTGTTTACTATTGTACAATTATTATTATTATATTTACCCATAGTAACGGGTTAATTCCAATATAATAAACCCGATGCCGGGAAGAACAACAGATTTTTATTTTTTCTTGATGATTTATTGCCTGAAAAAAAGAGATGTGTCCGAACAAAGGTCAAAGTACGTATACGAGGTCATTCAAGCTTAGTTTACGATAATTAATTATTAAGGATTAATTAATTAGCATAAATCATTTTTTTTCATGCAAAAAATAATTGTCGATAATTTATCTTGATTATTTTGATATTATTTATTAGACAATCCGTTCTAATGAATGATTCTTGTTCTTTTTTGACAAAGAGAATAGATACATTTTTTTTGTTTTAATTTAGCATAGTGCTTCATCAGAATGCTTTCGGGTTATCGAAATTTGATCGACCACCTACAACGAATCAAATCGATAAAATTCATCGACATTGACAATGTCACACGTGTCCAATGTGTCATGTTCGATGAATTTGAACCAAAAACTTTCTATTAAACATTTTCAGTGATTCTGATATGAATTGTCGTTCAAAAATAGAAAAATATGGCAACTAATTTTAGCTATGCATGTGTGTGTAGGTGTCGATTCTTACGATTCCAGTGATATTGGCGCGTGTCACTGTTACATGAAAAATGAATTAATTTTTATTTTTGCTGTGGTTTTTTTTGGAAAGCATTTTTGTACTTTTCAGTAAGGTCAAAATTCTTAGAAAAAATATCTACAGTATTCGTCAACAGATGTCGCAATCGTGCATGATTAAAATTTTTTTTCATTCAAATTTTTTTTTTGGACAATTTTTAAAATTTTTTCACTATTATAATTTCAGGTAACAGATCGTTCTGGAACATTTTCTGCATGGGTAGAATTACAAGATCCACAAGTTTACAATTGGATTGCTGCAATTCGACATTTGAATCAAAATCTAACAGAAGCTGAACAAAAACTTATTAATAATGGCACTAATAATGGCAATATTCAATCAAATCAAAAACGATCAACCGTTTTTGTCAATACATCAGGCAGCAACGATAATAGTGATTCTTATCATCAACAAGATTCTGATGAACAAAAAAATAAATGCCGAGATGCTAACGCCATCTTGTTGCTGTTTTGTGGCCAAGTAAGTTGAATTTGTTATTTTGAAATTTTTTTTCGTTCACTTTCTCTATTTCTAACTGTGTTTGCGAGAGAGAGAATGAGGATACATTATTATAAAATTTTCCTTTCAATGAATGATGATTCAAATATGTTTTTTTTCAAAATTAATAGCCCAGAGCATATTCATTTTTGTTGCGATCTAATTTGAATCTTTTTTTTTTTTTTGACTAAATTGACCAAAACAAAACAAAAAAAAGTTGTCTTCCAAATTTTTGTTTTATCCATTCGATCGATTATAATTTTCAATCAAAAAAAGATTTTGATTTATGACAAAATTACAATATAAATAACAAGTATGAAGAAAAAGAAAATAGAATTAGATATCATGTGTTGTATATATAACAATTTTAATATACTTACAAATTACAAATTAGAGTAGGAGAATCGTGTGTGTGTGTGTGTGCGTGTTTGTGCACAAATTTGGTCAGAAAAGAAAAAGATGTTCATTCTATTGAATATTGATTGATTTTTTTTTCGAAGTTGAATAAATTGGCTTAAACAATTTAATTTTCTTGGCAAAAAGCATCCAGTTATCCAAATCTTGTAATCAAAAAAAAAAAAATTGTGGTCATCGTCTCTCTCTCTCTTTATCTATCTCATTATTGGCAGTTAATATAATTGGATCACTTTCTTCTTTCCTCTTTTTCATTCATGGTTGATATCTTTTTATTTGTAGATATTCAAAAAAAATCTAAAGTTTCAAATTTCAGAAACTTTTCGCAAACATTTTTTGTATTCAATTTGATGAGAAAAAAAATTGTCAATTTTTTTTTGTAGCCACGCAAATTTTTTTTTTTAATTAGCATATGATTTGATTGATCTTCATATCTTCATTGTTTTTGGATCATTTTTTTTTTTGTCCATTGATGAACGTATCAACCATTTATGGTCAATGACGATGATAATAATAATAATAATAATATCATTATTACCACAATATGAGATATGATGTTTTTTGAAACATAAAAGTTCATTGCTGTTTTCATATATGAATATTTCGTCGTTTTCTACCTGCGAAAGTTTTTTGAATCCTTCGTTATATGAATGAATGAACGGATGTTTTTCTCGTTTTTTTTTTTTTGTTGTTTTTATCTGTTTCTGTTCTTTTAATCCACAGATTCTCATCCTATGATAAATGGAAAACCATGTCATAACATGGTATCAGCATCGGTTTTATCTTTTATTTTTTTTTTTATTTTCTAAAACTCTCATCAACTTTAATTGAAAGGAACAATTATTTCCCGATTGAATTTGAATTCTAATCGTCAATGATGATAATGATGATGATGATGATGATGATGATGAAAACAACAACAACAACAACAACAAAAAATTGTCTTATGTCTACAACATGGGTCATCATCATTGGAGAATTATCCATTATCATTTTATTTGATCCTATTCCATTTTAGTTTAAATTTTCCATTCATCGATAATGATAATGATGATGATGATGATAAGTAATTGAAAGACTGGATTATAAACTGATATCACATCTTAAACTAGTAGTTTTTCCAATATTTTTTTATTTTTATTTTTCTTGCTAGTGTTGGTCAGTTGCTTTGTTTATTTATTTATCTAGTCTAGACCTTTTTTCTTTCAATATAAACCGATTTCAATATCCATTCAATAATAATTCATTCCGTAATGATTAAGATAAAAATGATTTCAGTTACTTCATTATGGTTTTTTTTTTGGCGGAAAAAAAATCAGTACAGTAGATGTGATCAAAAATTTACCATGATCTTCATCACAACTGATGAGTGGATGATATAGAATTTTATTTGTTCTAGTATACTATTGGCATTATTATTATTATTATTATTAGCATTGTATCAAGCATCCGATACAAAACTTTCTTTAAATCAAATTATGCCTCTCATTCTCTCGCTCTCTCTCATAGATTGATTGTTATTATTATTATTAAGTTTTTCTCTTACCCAAGATTGATGTGAATTCATCATCATTCTTTAAAGTTATCATTTTGGTTTGATGGTTTTTTCTTTTATTGGATATCATTGATATACATTCATACACATTGCAAGTTGCAACATCAATTACCATCAGTCCATTTTTTTTTCATGATCCATCAACATTGATCATATCATTGGGGAAAAAATGGATGGATCCAACAACGATACAATTGTCTATCATTATATATGTGTGCAAAAAATCCATATTACTATCATCATCATCATCATCATCAATATAATATTGATAAACCAACACTTGTGGATTATCATTATAATAGTATATAGATCCATTATTGATCCAGTTTATACATGTGGCCTGTCCATCTTTATCAATGTCTTTGATAATTTTTTTTTGTTGCTGTCATTTTTTCCCCTTTCCAACCGATTCAAATATTTGAATTGAATTCAATTCACACGATAAGTGAGGTGTTTCTCGTCAATCGTCATCATCATCATCATCATCGTCCAAAAGTCAATCTGAAGAAAAAATCGCGTGTTTGTTGTTGTTGTTGTTGTTGCTGCTGTCGATTTCGATGTTGTTGTTGTTGTTGTTTTTTTTCGGTTTTGCTCTAGTTTTTTGGGCGTTGGCATCATACATTTTCTAGATTTCTTCACTTGTGTTGTTTTTATCATCATCATAATCAGCATCATCATCATCATCATCATCATCATAGAGATATAAGATGGTCATTTTTGTATTAGCTCGGGCGTCTTCCCTCTCATCATCAACATCGATTTTTCTCTTTAAATTCAATCTTTTCTCTTCATCAATATAATTTAATGTATTGTAGTTTCAGTATTTTTTTTTTTGTTACTTGAACGATGACTGTAATAATCATAATCATAATGATAATAATATTGACGACTACTACTACTACTACTATTACTGAAGTAATCGAACTAATCAGGATCGAAAATCGAAGATGATTATTGGTATTATTATTATTATTATAATCATTCTATTTAGAATTGTCGATGATGTTTTGAAAAAAAAGGATCATCGATTGAAAATGGATAGATTTCATAAATAGATTGATGGATTTTGTTTTTTTTTTTTTTTCATTTTATTGAATTTATCGGGGAAAACATAATTTTTTTATTTTGTTTATCCGTTACTTTGATTGATCTATTTAAATTATTATTTTAAATTTTCATTTTAATTTGTTATTTTATAATGATTATATGAACTGTATTCGAGGTCTCATCATTCCTTTTTTTTTGACTACTGACAATCGAAAACAACAACAACAACAACAACAAAATGATGATGAAAGTTTTTTTTTCTGGGTGGAGAACTGGATGATCCATGTTTGATGACGATGATAATAATGACGATGATGACCGCTTGTTCGATATATGTGTGTGTAGACATAACAAGGGCGGATTAATACACACACACACACACATGTGAATATCGTTGTATTATCATACATTCATCAAATACTTATTCATTATTAATGTTATTGTTTATAAACAATGTTGATGATGATCCATTCTTGTTTTTGTTTCATTGAAGAAAAAAAAATTCATCCGTTTTTTCCGATTGATCCAAAACACAACAACAACAACAACAACTTTGATGATAATCATTATAATGGCCGGTTATTATTTTGCAAATTTATTTACACTTACCAAATGATGGATAAAATAGAGAAGAGCCAGCATGTGTGTGTGAGTGTGTTGTTTGAAAATGAAGGAAGCATCCAAAGATGATCAATGATTTAATGAATGATGAGTTGAGATTAAGATTTGTATTTTGTTGATCAATTTTTTTTGTTCTTTTTTTTTATTCAGATGCATTATCTTATTTCAATTGTTTTAAACAATAAACTGTTCTTTTTTTTTAAACTACAACATGATGTTTTTAATCATAATTATTGATGATCAATATGGTGGGTGTTGGATCGACAATGATTATGTGCTAATGATCATGAGAATATTCGGTGAATGAAAAAAAAAATACTGATTCATTTTTTGGCATGAAATTATGAACAAAAAAAAAAAAAACTGTGTGTGGCCTTTTTTTTTTTTTTTTTGCTTGCTTGTGGCTCATCATCACTACATTAAATAATAACAAGGGCAATGAGATTAAATGATTTCATCTTTTTCTGGATTGTTTGATAAAATAGCAATGATGATGATGATGATGATGATAGAAATGGCCATAGTTTTCATCGTCACGATTTATTTGGATCATGATGATGATGATGATGATGATGAGTTTAATCATTACTTGCTTTTATTTTTTTTTTTTTTTTCACAAATAGTTGTACATACATAAACTTATTTTATAATAATGTTTGCATGGAGATTGATTGTTCTTGTCGTTTTTGTTGTTGTTGTTGTTGTTGTTGTTTTGGACTACTGAAAATGGTATCCAAAAGATGAACAAAAAAAAATGGCCAAAGCAGTTTAATAATCATCATCATCATCATAGTTATCATCACATAGTGAATGGACAGGAAAAAAAATTGTTATTAGCTACCTGAAATCAACGTAAAAGTTTTCATATGTGTGTGGCAAAATGAACAACAAACAATAGAATTCAATGGATTCAATTTTTTTTTTTGGTTATTTTGGACCATAGTTGGAAAAAGACATCAAAACAAATTCATTATGTATTTTTTTTTCGTCTTTATTTGATAGATTGACCAATTTTTCCATTAGAGTAATTTGTAAAAACAAAATTTTAAGCCCAATTTTGACAAATCTTTCAATTTACTTATTTGCATATTTTTATTCTAATGTTCATCATCATCATTATTAATAAGATGTGCAATGTACATCATCGTTTTCTTTTTTTCTTTTGTTGTTGATTTATTGAATTGAATTAAGATTCACAACTGTTTTATTTTTTTCCAGAAAAATGAATATAGACAATTCGTTATTTGAATGAAAAAAAATAATGAATAAGATGAACACAAATAGGTGTGTTTTTAATATTTATCAATTCTTCTGTTTCTATTGTTTCCGATTTTTTTTTGTTGTGGTTGGTTCATCCTTTTTCTATAGCCGGAAATTTTATACTATAGTCGAATTGTATGTTTTTTTTATTTAGTTTACGTATGATCATCATACTTGATTATGATTATGGATGTTAATGATCATATATTATCCACTGTTATTGTTTGTTTGCTAATAACAATCCATTTTTTTTTTACTGTTCATTCTGTTCATGGATTGTATTTGTTTTCACACCATTTTATTTGTTTTATAACAAGAAATCTATTTGATTGTCAATTCAATGCATTTCGCAAAAAAATTTCCAATTCAACAGGCTAAAATTTTTTTTCCTTCAAATGTTAAACATTTTGGACAATAAATATGTAAAATACAAATTTTTTTTTATGTAATCTGATCTGATGATCATAAATTTTTTTTTGTTCTCTCCACTACTTTTTAATGATCTACATAGACAAAATAGAGAGAAGTAGTAAAAAAAAAAAATTTAAATTTCATATTTTAATCCATGTATATCAGAGTTATTCAGCCATTATTATTAATCATCAATAATCATCTTCGATTGGTCAATATTTAATCATTTGCTCTACATTTGATCACCTCAATCGAATCGATTCGTGTTCGTCTCATTTCATCATCATCATCATCATCATCATTATTAGTGTTGCCAATCTTTATTCATTCAAATTAGAGAGTATAGTGTATATTTGTGAGTTAGTTGATTCAATTTTTTTTCCATTGAAAGTCATTGGATTTTCATTTTATTTTTTTTTTTTGTCGTCTATCAATCGGCAGTAGCCACATTAAATTATCAATGCATTATTTTATTTTTCCGATAAATTTAATCATCTGATTGAATGAAAACACACACACACACATATCCTGTTAGGTTGTAATCGATCCTCGAATGTTGGTTGGTTGTCGTGGTGGTGGTGGTGGCGCGTTAAAAGATGAACGCCAATAATGAATGATTATTACGGGGTTCGATTAAATAAACTTAAATAAATTTTCTTTTTTACATTTTCGACTATGGACCAGTCAAAAACATTCATCTATTTATCTATCTATCTAGATATCTATATGTTGTTGTGTGTGTTGAAAAATTCGATTGATCATCGTTTTCATCTTTATCGTCGGTCATCATCATCATCATCATCATAATCGGTGGATGTATCAATCTTGATTTTTTTTTGTCTATAGTAGCCGGGATCCGTTAAGGATATTCATCAATTTATTCATCATTTTCAATTCATTCCAATTGAATCGATTGGATGGCACATAATAAGCATGTTCGTGTGTATATAACAGTATCTCTTGATAATCCACATGATGATGATGATAATACCAGGTGGTGGTGATGATGGCTATGTTGGCGAGGATTGTAAGATTCAAGAGATGAGTTTTAATCTCTTTTTTTTGCTTTCATTCATCAAGATGTATTAATGTTGACGGCGACGACGTACCAACTGATGATAATCACATAGACACAACTTTTTCTTCTTTTTTTTTGTTTGTCCGACTGACTAACTGACTGAATGATTTGGAAATACGAATCAGAAAAATGCCTAGTTTGATCTACTTTTCATCATCATCATCACTATCACCATCAAATTTATTCCATAATGATGAACCAAATGATGTGTAAGAAAACATCTAATGATGACCAATGATACTCTTCCTTTGATTTGATCCTGATCAGATCTTCCGATTTTTCGTTCCGTTTTTCAAACTGTCTGTTTTTGATGTATGTAGCTTCTATCTGAATTTCGAATGGATTTCATTTTGTAATTCGTCTATCAATATTTTCACATAGATTTATTTGTATATCATCATTTGTTCTACAGAGAGTAAAAAAAAAACATTAAATCAAATCAGATTAAAAATCCGTTGAAAAATATGAAAGTCAATGTTGTATCAACTACTACATGTATATTTTGCATGTTGGTGATAATAGTGATGATAACGGGGAGAAAGGAAGAAAGGACAAAATGATTTTTTCAATCGTTGATCAATTTATTTATTTTTTTTTGTATAATTTTATCGAAAATTATTTGTTGTTGTGGTTTTTGTCGGTTATGTCTTTTTTTTCACTAAATTATCAAAGAAACAAAAAATCAAAGTGAAAGTAGATTGATCAATTTTTTTTTGTTGTGAATGGATTAATCATAAACATATCATCATCATTTATCAATTATTTTTTTTTTGGCCAATGTTATTTACAACAAAGAAGAGGCGTATATTGTAATGAAGAAAATGAAATTTTTCTTTGATAAATGTGCATTATCACCATCATCATCATTATATACGAAATGGAGAAATAATAATAATAATGAAACCTTTTTTTAATCAAACGAATTGAATACAACATAATATACCGACCAAATGTGGTTGTGTTGTTGTTTATGCCTTGAAGGGTTTAATTTTTTTTTGTTTTGTTTTGTTTTGTTTCGATTCTCGATTTCATTGATGATGACGAGGATGATGATGATCAGGAAGGGAGGAACAACAACAAAACAGGCCTAACCTTATCATCATTATTTTTTTTTAATATTGATGTTTGCGAATTTTGTTGTATTCCGCAACATATTGATGAACCCTTGGGATATTTTTTTTTCTATCATCCTTCATTAGAAAAAAAATTATTTTATTTTATTTTTTGCTTTCTTTTTTCTTGGAACTATCTCTCTCCCTTTTTCATTATATATCATACGATGATATAGACAAAAACATAACAGAAAATAACAAGCTTTACAATGTTCCAGAAACCATCATACAATTGTTATCATGAATTATCATCAATATGAAGATTATTCTATATTTGACGATGATTACCTAGATTTTAGTGATAATGGTAATAAAAAAATAAAAATAAAATTTTCCAATCACCCAAAAGTCGTCAATTGTTTAGTCGAGAGAAAATTCATCATGATTTCTGGATGATAGTCCTGCGGTTTAGTTGATTATGGCCATTGTTGTATTGATGGTGGTAACCAATTTGGTTGGTGTATCTTGCTCTCTTTCTGATCAATTGTTTAAAAGTGATGAATCCATTCACTGATCAAATCATGATTTCAAACATCATCATAATCATTTATTCGATACTATCGGATAAATGAATTGATTCATTTGAATTTTTGTCTATTAGGTTTCAACGGTTCGGTTGAAGATGGATTGTTTTCTTATCCAATTAATTTTTTTTTGTTATTTATTATTTGAATCGATTCAAATTTAATTCAATTCGATTTGATACAATAACACAATTATTTTTTGTTTAATATTGATCCGTGATTGATCGATAAATTAATTGTGTTTTTTTTCCAAATAAATAAAAAAAATTATCTTTTATTCGATGAGATCGAAAGTATTTATTTGCAAAATGTGGTTCATCTAAATCAACATTTTGATTTACTGCACGAAATCATCCATTGATCAGTTGTTTTTCATTACGAATTATTTTTGTTGCATCTTTGTTTTGACTTAGGATCTCCACAAATCATTGATGCATGCTATACTATGCTGCTTGGGGGTGTTTTGACTTTTAATAATAATAATAATAATGATGATTATGATGAGCTAAACCTAATATGATGGTTCTGTTATGTTTGTGATGATGATTGTAGATTGATGCTGATGATGATGATGATTGGTTAGTTATTATTATCAACATCATTATCATTATCATCATCCAAATGATGATTGTTTTTATTTGCGTTCTGGCAACAAAATAAAAACGCCAATATCCCCTTTCATCATATATTAGAAGTCTATATATTTTTCTTCCAAATGTTGGTTACGGTTCATTGATGATACATGATGATGATGATGATAATAATAATAATGATGAGCCGTTTGTTTTCTTCTTCTTCTTCTTCTACTTGTGTAGCTTCCTCAAATGCAAAAACAAAAAAAAAAATTCATTTCCGAAGCTGATTTGAAATGAATGATGATGGATAGAGGAAGAAGAAGAAAAAAAACGTTTAATTGAAGCCCTCTAGGGTATATATGGATGACTGCATAATTGTCTATATGTCTGTTGTCGATAATAATCGAATGTCACCTATTTTTTTTTTCATTCACATTTTCATTTTCACATATCATTGTTGAAACCGTTAATTTCCTTCATATGCATTTTTTTTTTTTTTTGTTTTATTGATCGCATCATTTTTTTTTCTTTTCTTTCATATTAGATCTATTTGGAAATTACACGCGATCTGACACGTGGCCAAGAGTTGATATTATATTCAAATCAAGTTCTTCTCATACATGAACATGATGTATGCTATCAGGATGGTCATCGACAAACCGGATATCGTTATGGTAACGGTAAGTGTTTGATTCGAATTTTTAAACATTATTCTATATTAATCAATAGAAAAAAATAGAATGAAATTCACTCTTTGAATTTCAAGATTCATTACAGAATTTATCCATTCATTTATTTTTCATTTAGATAAAGGTCAACAGGAAAAGCATTCATTCATTTGATTTCATTTTAATATTTTTTTTCTCCTTAGTCATCTTAGTTGATTATCAATAGTGATGATAATGAATATATTTTTCATCGACAATAGTGACAATTGTCTCCATATTTATGTAGGTTGACAATAATTAATTAACAGAAATAGCAGCTGCTTCATATTGAAATTCGTGATGGCATCTGTCATCTTGAATTGAACGGATGATCATCATCATCATCATCCGTTGTTGCTCTAGTCTGTCGATCATTTTAAAAACACATACACACACACACACATTTAATGGTGAGCTACCGTACCATTTTATCTCTCTTCATTTCGTAGATATTTTTTTTACATGTGGAAAAAGCTGTAACGGTTTTCATAAAAACACACACACACACAGACACTAGACCTAGCGTGCGACACGCGACCACCTGTGTACTATTACCTTGAATTCCTGCCTTTTTTCTGCCTGTCCGGTTTTGGTCCATTGGCTTTGGTCATCTTTCATCATTACTTTTGTGGTTGGTGTTGTTTTTTTTTTGTGGGGATGGCTTCTGATTCAATTTCATGATTGAACGATATATTTTTTGAAAAAGAATTGTTTTGTTTAACATGTCATTTTTAAGGACTTCACAGTAATTTTGTGTTCATTTTGTTTTTTGTGGTTATTGCCATAGGTCTCATCATTGGCCAAACGACCACCAACAAATCATCATCATCATCATCGACAATATCATCGGTGGTGGCAAATTTGAATTCAAATTCCAAACATCAACAACTACCTCATCATCATCATCATCATCAACAACAACAACAACAACAACATCAACATTCTAATCATTCAACATTATCGGATCATTCTATTGATTCTTTATGTTCAAATCAAAATAATATTGTTGATCAACAATTTCGATCATCATCTAGTAGAAAAAATCGTAAACGTCGATCTTCGTTACAGATAGCAACTAAATCCATTAGGTAGGTTTGACATTTTTTTAGTTTTATTTTCAACTCTCAACTCCAGAAAAAAAGGGTTTACTTCCTTTTTTTTCGTAATGTGATTGAACCAAAGTAAATTATAATAATAATAATGAGTGAAGAAATCTTTTTTGTACAAATATATAATAATTAATGTTCACAACAACAACAACAACAACAAAAATGTCTTTCCCTCATGGTTTTTTTTTGGGTAATTTTAAAAAAGTGAAAGTTTAATCAGTTCATTCGTTTCAGGATATATCATTTTCGTTTCGGTTCATGATAATAAATGGTTGTAATCATTTTTTTTTCTTGGAAGATTCTAAATTGTTCCAAGTTGCAAAAAAAATGAAGAAAAATCAACCAATTTTTTTTTGTCATTGCAATCATCATTCTAATCATTTCTTTTATCATATACTAAAGTTGTCAAGTATCCAGCATGTGTGTGTGTGTGTGTGTGTGTGTGAAAATCATCCAAACGAAACTGAATGAATGTGTAAATTTTGTTGTTGTTGTTATTATTATTTGTTACAAATTTCTTCTGAGTTATGTTTTCTTGACTTTTTGGTTACAACAACAACAACAACAACAATGTCGTAACACTGTATTTTTTATGTATGTCACATAGAGCAAAAAAAACAAAAATTCGTCCTTTACAATGTGTTTAGGTTTTTCTATGTTCGCGCGCGCGAGCAATCGGAACCAGGTAATAAAATAAATGAATTGAAAAAAAAATGAATCCAATTAGTAAAATTTTTAGCGCGTAACAATAAAATGTGAAAACTATTATTTCTTGTTGTTGTCATTTCGATTTGTCACTGATGATATCACAATTTCTATGATGATGATGATGATGATAATGTTACGAAAAAAATAATGGTGAAAATTTAAGGATTGTGAGAAATTTTTTTTTCTTCCAATTTTCGAAATTCAAATTCAGATTTTGATGGATCCAATGAAAATAAATCAATCAATGGTTTTTTTTATTGTGTGTCTTTGTGTTTTTTTTTCGTGTACCATGATGTACATGTTACTCGGAAAATTTTGAAAATTAATCCAACAATTGATTCCAATGTGATGATATTCAAGAGCAAAATTTTTTTTTGTTTTGTTTTGTTTTTTTTGCCATCTAAAGAATCAATCAAGGTCGTTACAATGCTCGATGTAATGAAAAATTATCCTAATTTTCGGGTGGAGAAAAATGACAATTTATTTTGTTGTATTCAACCTGTTGAATAGCATAGTGAAAAGGAAAACCGATCCGATTTTTGTGGCTGTATTACTTTTTTTTAATAAATAAGCATCATCATCATCATGATATATATGTCATGCATTTATCAAACTTTAACCCTAATGAAAAAAATTAAATCCATTCTTTTGTCATTTTTCATCGGACAAGATAATAATGTTTGTAAGCATTTAAAAATGATCACTGATCATTGAACAGAAAATAATTCAAGGTCTGATGATGATGTTGATGATTTTGGTGGTAATGAAAGAAATTAGTAAAAATAAAACAACCATATATCTGACAATCATCTTTTCATTTCTTGTCTGTCGCTCACACACACACACACACACACACACTCTCAATCTCAATCCATATATCCATCTCCAATCGATAAACGGCCAACGCCTCCATTGCAACAAATGCTCATCGAATTCAAGAATTCTCATCTTTTTTTTTTGTTTTGTTTTGTTTATATTTTGTAATAAAACAAAAGAAATATATAGATGATCCACACCTTTTTTCCACTGTTTGTCCTTCTGTATGTATTGTATTTGGAAAAAAAATTTTGCAATTATTTTTGTATTGTTTAGTATTCCAAAATAGTAGTAGTCATTTAATATTTAGAAAAAATAATGATATTGATAATGATAATAATAACCGATGGTCAAAAACACTGATATGATTGATTTGTTCATTATCCATCATTCATTCATTAGCTTGTTTGATTTTTTTTTTTTTTTTGGTTGCTACTATTGGAAAAAAAATTATATAGAATACTATGATGGTGATGATGATGATCCTTTCAATTTCAAAAATTTTTCACAAACAAACATGATATACACCTGTTAATATTGCTTTGGATCTTTGAAATTGGATCAATTGATTGCATCATCATCATCATCATTATTTATTGTCAGGTTTTTGTTTGTTTGTTTGTTTGTTTGTTGTAAAAGAGAAATATTCACATTCATCACTATGTTTCCAAATAACCTTTAGCGAATCTGTCAAATCCGAATCCAAATAATAATCGAAAAAAAAAAATCAAATATAATATTACTGTTTTTCTCTAAATCTTTTGTTTTCTCTGTTTTTTTTTTGTTTGATCCATTATATATACATCCTCTTCATCATCATCATCATCATCATGGTGAAAAAAAAGAAATAGATGGTAATTGATGATCTCTCCCATTTTGAATTTCATTTTCTTTCTCAATAAATGATATTTGGGATGATTTTTCATTATTTGTGATGTGATATTATTATATCCATTATGTATTCATTTATTTATATTGGAACAATTCGACAAACATGTATTTGGAGCAAACAAATTTTTTTTTCTTCTTTTCTAATACTTTTTTACTTGATTGGTCCATGATATTTATGTAAAAAAATGTATGTGTAGGAGAATGGAATCAATCGATCGATCAATCGCAATTGCAATTAATCGCAAATCAATACATATTGGTATTATGGCCATCATTGAATTGATTGTCAATATTTCATCAATATATTTGTGATCATCTTGCTCGGTGGCAACGCACACACACACACACAAGTTCAAACATATTATTATTATTTGGAATTTTTTTTTCAGTTTGTCTATTTATTTTGATAATTCTTATGATGATAATGATCATGGCTGAATGATGAACTTGAACTAACTCTTCCTTTTTTTTATCTTCTCTTCGATCAAGAAAAGGGTGTGTATGTATTGCTATCCTCACATTCCAAATATCATGTATTACGTTACTGGCTGTCTATTTCAATCAATATATATACAAAAAAAATAACAAATTACACAATATCGATTTGATTGGCTAAATTCATTATATTCAAGATTCATTTTTTTTTTCATTATAAGCATAGTTTTTTTTCTGTTACAGAAACAACAAAATTACTGTTAAACTGTATCAATCAACACATTTTTTTTTGTTGATCATTTCAACAGCAGGTATCAACAGGTCAAAAACATGGAAACCAAATCTATCTGTTTTTCCTATTTCGATGAAAATTACCATTATCATTGAAAATAAAAAATTTTTTCTTTGCAATCTAATTGGGTTTTCTTCTAGATTGATTTTTAGATTTGATAGTACATGAAGAGTTTAGTTGAAAAGAAATAATTGTGCCAAATTGACATTAATCCTCGTTGTATTTAGTAGACCTTCAATGCAACAAATTGTGATGGCGCCAGAAAAAAAAATAATTTCTTACGCGTGCTAACTGCACACACACACACACATACACATTTGATACATCCGTTCTTTTTTTTTTTGACAAACTTTGTCATCATAACACCATCACAGTGAAAGTATTTTTTCCCAATTATCTTCGGTCTAATAATGAAACTAATAGTAACTAACTAGAACGAATTGTTCAAATGATGATGGTGATGATGATGATGATGGCTGTCTACTTTGTTTTTTTTAGTTTCGATTGTGATTTTGATTTTTATGAAAAAAAAAATATGAACCAATGGAGCGTCATGATCCAATGAACACCACCATCAGCAATACCAACGATTTTCACTTTCTCGTGTCGTTTTTCTCAAAAAAAAATTTTTTTTTTTTTTTTTTTTGATGAATGAAAATGAAAAATTATCTGGGCCAGGAGCCACCACCATCAACATTAGCGTCAATGATAACGCTAAAAATCTTAACTGATGACAATTGACAAATACTTTTGATTTCTTTTTCTCTTGTCTTGAAGAAGAAGTGTTTTTCTTTATTTTTTTTCAATTCGGTTTCCTTCTATCAACTATCTTTTGTTTTGGTGAATGGCTCCAGAAAAAAAATTATCCTGTATCCTGGCTCTTCGAATCATTGAATATGTGTGTGTGTGTGTGTGTATGTGTCCTTTCTACCATCGGATGACAGTCTCTCATTTCTTTTTCTTTAATAATTATCATCGTTGACAAAAAAATAAATGGAGTCATTCAATTGAAGGATGATTGGGGAGCCACACATATATACACACAGTGGATATGATGATTGAATGAGTAGTAGTAATACGGATGTTGTACGTCATGGATCACTGAAGATAACTGAGGATTTTTTTCTTCACTTTCACAAACCCGATGACAAAACCGGAGGTTGACAATTTTTTTTCTCCTCCTCTTCCTCATCCTTCATTTTTTTCCTTTTTTTTTCTTCAATAGAAGATGATGAAGTGAAAAAAAAGATGAAGAAATTCTTTTCTTTTCATCATCTGGTGCATGTATGTTCATTAGACCGGTTTGTGTTTGTTGTTAACCAATCCTTGATCGTTTATCACACACACACACACACACACATAGCTATGATCACCATTGCCAACGATATTGTCATCGCCGATGACTATCTGAATCACCATTTTTAATCGACCGGAAATTTGTAAAGCAATCTCGTATGATTTTCAGTTCCACTATACATCTATCCATCTATTTTAGCTATGATAATCAAAATTTATGGAAATATTCGGCCATATTTTTTTTGAAGGTCAAAATGTAAAAGAAAGAATGAAAAGATTTAAAATCTAAACCTTGCATGATTTTTTTTCTCTCTCTCTCTCTACCTCTTTTT